CACTGTGAAAGTGTCTCAGAGCCGGCAAAAGCTGTGAAAAGAGTGACACTTTCTCTCACAGAGTAAGATGCAGCAGGCAGAAGGGACATGCATGGTTGTTTATCCACACCAGAACTACCAACTGTAGCCAAAGCACAATAAACTCATTTAGCTTTTTCCAAGGCCCATATTTACAAAATATAGACTTCTGGGAATCCATACTCTGGTCTCATGAGACCAATTCAATCATTTTGGATCTAACAGCATCCAAAATGTGAGGTCGTCCTCCAGGAGTTAAACAGCACAGATGTGAAAATTTGTCATGAACTTGTACACTCAGTGCCAAGAAGTGTCAGAGCAGTGTACTTCGAGTTATGGAGGACATATTAAGTTCTAGAATATTACACTTAGTTGAATTAAATCTAGGTTGTACTCAATTCTGCAATCCTTCATTTAAACAAAAATTGGCTAAGTTTCTTATTTTACAGATATTAATGGCATGTATTTCTCTGTTTTTATTAAGAATGTTTAATGCATTTAAATTGCCATCTTTCTATGAATTATATTAGTGCTCATTAAGAAAATACATCTTTTATATTTAATCAGAGGGGGTGTACTAATTTATGCTGTGCACTGTATAAGTGTTGTCCAGAAATGTAAAGGTTAGCATGTAGACAATTGTGATGTTAAACATTTTTTTATTATTTTATAGAAATTCATTTAGTAACATCTGTCTTTTTATCATTTTTGTGTGTTATATAAAAGTTATATATTTAAAAGTTTGTAAAATTCTTAAAATCTTAAAATTATTACATTATAAATGTATAATATAATTTAAATACTATATAAATATAATTATATAATTATTGATATATATTGCTATTTCTATTTAAAATGTATATATTGCTTGTATAATTTTATATCTCTTTCATGATATCTCTTATCTCATATTTGTAGAAAAAAATATTTCACATTTTACTGCTACAAAAATAAAAGTACTAACTGGCCCTATTTAATCTCCAAAGCTCTCTGAGACCAAAGTGTTCACTTCCTCTTGTGCACCTCCAACTGAGAACCACATCACACCTGGCCAAAGGTAATAAAGTCAGGACTGGGTTTCTCATTTCTTTCCAATCTTGTGATGATTACCGCATTTGCATATAGCTTATGTTTCTTTCACTGACTATTTAGTGTTTTTCGTTGTAGTCTGGATCTATCAACTCTGCTGCAGAAGCCTGTGGACCGTGAGGAGGTGGGAGGTCTGAAGGCCATGGGCTCCTCTCAGGGGCTTGGCCACAGTCTAGTCTTCACCAACTCCCACCACCAGCTTGCTCGAAACGGAGGCACATCTGCTGGTTCCAACTGCTACACACACGCCACCCTGGTGAGACAATCCACAGGCCTGATTTATAGCATTTAGAAAACCGTTTTCCTAGAGGATGAATGGCAGTAACTAGTGAACCTATGTTAAAGGGATAGCTCACCCAAAAATGAAAATTCTGTCATTAATTACTCACCCTCATGTTGTTCCAAACCTGTAAGACCTTCGTTCATCTTCGAAACACAAATTAAGATATTTTTGATGAATTCCGAGAGCTCTCTGTCCCTCACATAGACAGCAAGGATCCTAACACGATCAAGGTCCAAAAACGTAGTAAGGACATTGTTAAATTAATCCATGTGACATCAGTGGTCCAACCGTAATTTTGCAAAGCTACGAGAATACTTTTTGTGCACAAAGAAAACCAAAATAATGACTTTATTCAACAATTCTTCTCCTCCGTGTCACCCTGGCGCCATTTTGGAGAGTATCACACACGTAAACAACATATGCGATGTATGTACGTGGATACATTGTTTACGTTCAGATCAAAGCATAAACAACATATATTCATAAATTTATGGTTGAACCACTGATGTCACATGGATTATTTTAACGATGTCCTTACTACGTTTCTGGACCTTGATCGTGTTAGGATCTAGGGCTGTGCAATTAATCGTATGCGATTGTCATGAGCATCTCGTCAGTAAAGCCGGTTCCGTGATTAGTAGTAAATCTCCATCACCTGCTTTCAGATGGAGTGGCATTTACTACACCGATTATTTGTTTTACTTTCTAGTTCGTTACTTTAAGAATAGTTGTATTGTGGTATATTGTTCAAATGCACTAGAGCTGGTAGAGGTGAGATCTGAATTGGTTCCCCCTCCTTTGTGTCTTTTTCCAGTCCTCTGTTTTAGGTTCTGGTTTTGGAGAGCTGGGTGGTCCAAAACTCGGGCAGACGGCTGGGCAGCAAATACTGGAACAGCTGAAGGGGCCTGGTCTTGGGCAGCTTACCTCCCAGCCCTCCAGCACAGGGACCAACTGCACCCCTGTAGGGGGGCTGGTGGGGACGGGGATGTCTGTCCCCTCCTCCTCCTCCTGGGACATCAAACCTCCTGGAACACAGAGCTCCGCTTCACTCCCCTCTCAATTCAGTCGTGAGTGTTACAAATGGTTTACTGAACCAGAAAAACAAACTTGTTCAGTCTTGCAAACACATGGCTATGCATTAACACTTTTGATCTGTTCACACCAAAATCTGATGTTTCTACACAAATAACATGTACAAGTATCTTTTAAAACAATTGAAACTATTAATTCCAATGATCTTCACACTGCATCCATTTTTTTTTTAATGTGAATGCCTTTTCTGAATTTTTTGCACTGTAGGGGAGTTTCAGATGCAGCCAGAACCATCTTTGGTGCTAAGCCAACTAGCCCAGCGACAGCAGGGCTCCATGACCCACACAGGGCCTCTAGCCAGGCAGCCCAGCCCTCCATCACTGAGTGCCCCGTCGCCTGCCCCGAGTACACTGGAAGCCTTTCCTAAAGCACCGGAACCTTCTCAGCACCGCAACGGGCCCTCGATGGCCCCCTCACAGGCAGCCGAATCTCAGGGCAGCAGCACACAGCAGCGGCAGATAAAGACTCAAAAGCGACGGATACCTCCCACTTCAAAGGTGACTAGAGATTAAAAAAGCATTGAGTTGGAAGGCTTTGTGAGATCTCTCAGTGAACTGTCTATTACAAACTACAGTTTCTAGATAAACATACATGAAATGGCCTTCGAAAGCCATTTTGCTTACATAATCTGACTTATTTCTTGGTTCAGTTTTCAAGCATAAAGAGTGTAGGGTGGGGCTTGATTTTATCCATCTGGAATTGATTGAATTGTGAAAAGTGGGTGTTGCCAGAATAGAGGCGAGAGCAAGTTACAAAGACAATGCACAGAAAATGCACAGATGAATTGCTTTGACATGTTTATATTTTTTTGCCGTTATGTTTCTGGCTTGCATTAGTTATTAATTTGAAAGTCAGTATCACAAAATGTTTAAATGGTCTTTTAATTGAGTGAAACTATTAATTCCAATGATCTTCACACTGCATCCATTTTTTTTTAATGTGAATGCCTTTTCTGAATTTTTTGCACTGTAGGGGAGTTTCAGATGCAGCCAGAACCATCTTTGGTGCTAAGCCAACTAGCCCAGCGACAGCAGGGCTCCATGACCCACACAGGGCCTCTAGCCAGGCAGCCCAGCCCTCCATCACTGAGTGCCCCTTCGCCTGCCCCGAGTACACTGGAAGCCTTTCCTAAAGCACCGGAACCTTCTCAGCACCGCAACGGGCCCTCGATGGCCCCCTCACAGGCAGCCGAATCTCAGGGCAGCAGCACACAGCAGCGGCAGATAAAGACTCAAAAGCGACGGATACCTCCCACTTCAAAGGTGACTAGAGATTAAAAAAGCATTGAGTTGGAAGGCTTTGTGAGATCTCTCAGTGAACTGTCTATTACAAACTACAGTTTCTAGATAAACATACATGAAATGGCCTTCGAAAGCCATTTTGCTTACATAATCTGACTTATTTCTTGGTTCAGTTTTCAAGCATAAAGAGTGTAGGGTGGGGCTTGATTTTATCCATCTGGAATTGATTGAATTGTGAAAAGTGGGTGTTGCCAGAATAGAGGCGAGAGCAAGTTACAAAGACAATGCACAGAAAATGCACAGATGAATTGCTTTGACATGTTTATATTTTTTTGCCGTTATGTTTCTGGCTTGCATTAGTTATTAATTTGAAAGTCAGTATCACAAAATGTTTAAATGGTCTTTTAATTGAGAAAAAAAAAAAACTTTTAATATGCGTATATTTGTACACATCCAGATTCCCGCGTCTGCTGTAGAGATGCCCGGCTCAGCAGATGTGTCCAGTCTAAATGTGCAGTTTGGTGCCCTGGACTTTGGTTCAGAATCTGCCCTGCCGGACTTCGGCCAGTCGGAGAACTGCACCAGTGAACCCATAAGAGAGGCTGCTGTGGTTCCTCAGTCACAGAGCAGCCTTTACTCTAAACCAATCAGGTCAGTCAGTGGGAGAAATGGAAGCACTGAGGACAAAATGGTCTTGCTGATGTTTTTTTTTTCTTTGAGCAGTGGACTTCATGTATTGATGATTTTCCTTAATCTCTCAACGCATGTCTTTCAAACCAATGTTCTCTCTTTAGCTATAAAATCTCTCCATTTTGCATGCTAATACGTTTCCCATGATCTCCCCTGCAGTGAATCTCTGATCAGTCCGGTCCCTTTGCTGCTGCCTCTGGCCTCTTCTGACAGTATCTACCCCTCTCCCTCGGTACCTCTCCCCAGCCTCGCCCCCTCCCACACCATCCCCAGCTCGGCCACAGCCCCTTCGTCCTCTTCATCCTCCTCTTCCTCCTCCGCTGCATCATCGGCGGGTAACAGCTTTGACTGCGGTGTGGCTCCTCACTCAAGATTGACCTTCTCTCAGAGCAAGGAGCCTTCTGGACCTGTGACAGTGAGTACAGACAGAGCTGTGAAAATTTAAAGTTGATTTCTCAGTTAAAGGGTTACATCAGCCAAAAATGAAAATGTTCACTATTTACACTACTGTGGAAAGGTTTGGGGTTCTGAAAGATTTTATTTTAGATAGTTTTTATATATATATATATATATATATATATACAGTGGGGGAAAAAAGTGGGAGAACTTGCACAATTGGTGGCTGACTAAATACTTTTTTGCCCCACTGTATATATAAATGAATACTTCTATTCAGCAAGAATGCATCAAATTGTTCAAATTTTCAAATGTTCTTTTCACATTTTCTACAAAAATATTAAGCAGCACAACTGTTTTCTAAAAAAATCTTTAGAACCAAGTCAGCATATTAGAATGATGTCTGAAGGATCATGTGACACTGAAGACTGGAGTGTAATGGCTTCTGAAAATTCAGATTTGCCATCCCAGGAATAAATTACATTTTAAAATACTTTAAAACAGAAATCAGTTCTAAATTGTTGTAACAATTTCACAATATTACTGTATTTACTAGAGGCCGACCGATATGGGTTTTTTGGGGCCGATACCGATATTAGGGGGTTTAAAAAATGCCAATGATGATATATCGGCCGATATTCTTTGTGTATATTATAGTACAGTGCCAGTCAAAAGTTTGGACACTTTCCCATTCGTGTGTCCAAACATTTGACTGGTACTATATATAGAATACAGTATATGCATAAACAGATTAAGGGGGTCTGAATACTTTCCGTACCCACTGTATATACATAAACACATTTTTTGAAATGATCACTCAAATGTGGTGATAAAACACTTATAATGGTGACAGAGATATGTAAGGGCATTTAACAATAAACTTTACTATCCAAAATGAGTCTGACATCAGTGCACTAAACCGTAAAGTTGACGTTTATTCAACTTTAATTCAATTCATTTCCATTCAACTTTATTCCATTGAAGTTTATTTCACTTCGGAACATTCATTCATGGATTTGCGCTACTGTCTTCACACACACAGACGAAACTTACTAGAGAAGTGTGAAGTGTGACATAATATAATATAGGGGAGCGCGATGCACAAACGGGGGGGGGTTAGTTGTAACACACGTGGTTTGAATATTTATTTTACCAAAGTAAAATTTAAATTCTGGCTTAAGTAAATTATATTTTATTGAAAAATATTTTAGTGTGTCTTGTATATTTTTCTTTCATTCGATCAGATAAGATTTTAAGCTGTCCATATGGTCAAGTTACAACGTGCCCCTCAGATGTTACAATGTGTTACACCTACGGGGCATGTTGTCACATTTCACTTACATTTTTTGAGGGTAAATAAAGAAAAACTTATACACTGTAATTATGAAACAAAGCGACATATTTGTACTAGACAAGTGTAAAATTACTGTGGATAAAAAAAGATCTGCCTGCCTGTCCGGTAAAAAATCGCTAGATCGGTCGGCGCCGGACCGCAAATTGAACCATCCGTAACTCCCGAATTCAGGGGGCTATCGACGCGGGGGTGGTCTCATTCGAAAGAGGGCCTCTAGATGTACACTTGATTCGCATTCGAGAGTGGTTATACCATTTCAAGCATTTTATCTGCATTATAAGTTCTGTAAAAAAAAAATTCATATCGGCGGCATATTCGCCGATACCGATATATCAGCAACAGGCTCATATCAGCCGATAATATCGGCAAAACGATATATCGGTCGGGCTCTAGTATTTACTGTATGTTTGATCAAGTAAATGCAGCCTTTTTTGAAGGTACTCTCATGTTGTTTCTTTAGTGCACAGTACTGTTGTACATCAAGGAGGTTATGTTGCCTATATTGATTCAATACACTTTGTTTGCATCTCTCACAGAACGGTTTCAATGGTGCGAGGACCTCTGCTGCTTTAGACAGTAAGTCAAACTCCTCATTTTTACCTTTCTTTCTGTGTCATATGCATTCAAGCTGTATTTGCTTTATTTTTGTAATATATGACATTTATGCCTTCTCCATCAGCCACATCGAGTTCCTCCACTCAAAAACAAGAGTCTCCCTCTCTGGCCAGCAGCACAAGTGCTGCCCCTTCTGCCCCATCCTCACTGTTGCCCCCTTCTGTTACACCACACAGCTCTGCTCTGCCCAGTCTGGTATCTGAGCTGTCCTCTGCCAGCTTACCTCCCCTCAGCAGGTGAGCAAGATGCTTAATTGTACCTTTTCTTTGTATTACAGTTCTTTTCCTCAAATGTTAAGTGGGATACTTATATCCGTGACACTGCCTGTTTTTCCTGTAGTCATGTGAGCAGTGGCCATTCCTCTGTGTCGGCACTTTGCACCACATCTTCACTTACAGTGAGTTCTGTAGGATGCACACACACAGACACGAACACGCGCACACTCTCTCTTCACCACCTCCGTCTGTATTTGTCCTCAGTATACCAGTGTGGACAGCGTGAACTCTCTCGCCCCCTCATCGATGGCATTTTCCTCGCCGCCTGTGTCCGCTCTGCCCAGCAGCAATGTTAGCAGCTCAGCGAGTAGCAGCAACAGTCTGCACGGGTCTGGAGCTTTGGGTCACGGCACCAATGGTAGCACACCTTCCGGTGTCAGGACTGTCCCGCTACTGTCTTCCTCCAGTGGTGAGAGAGAGCACAAATCAGTGTTGTCACATCCCCTTAATCATAACCAAGCATCACAATACCATGTAGTATCATAATACCATTCATATCGTTTAGATGCGTTTCCTTATAGTAGGGCTGGTTTGTGGGTGTTCTGCTATGGTTTTAATTCCTTTGTTTCTTCAGAGCTTGCAAAAATCACATTTGTATTTTTTTTTTTTAAATATATGTATGTATATACTACCATTAAAAAGTTAGGAGTCTTTTATGCTCAACAAGGCTGCATAAACCAGTAACAATGTGTAATATTAGTACAATTTAAAATAACTAGTGGTCGACCGATATGGGTTTTTTGACAACCGATGCCGATATCTTGGAAAGCATGGTGGTCTATATAAAGCCGATATAATTGTATTTATTTTCATTCATATTTAAGAAATTTGAAATCATTTGAAAATGGATTTAAAAATAAACGTGTAAAATAAACATACTTATACTCTAGAAGACCAAGTATTTTTCACAAATAAATAAATATTTAATAAAAATATAATTAAAAAGGAAGTAAACACTGTAACCAAATAAAGCCAAGGTAACACTCATTTTACATACAGCACACAGTGAAAATGACATGAATATGACAGTGGGCAAATGCATAAAGTGCAGCATAATTTGAAATCAGTCACGAGCTTAAAGTTTGTCGATCGCACGTCTCCAGTGAAGCTGATCTCTCCTCCTGTCCGTATTCAATTTGCACGGACCATAGGACCGACTGTCACAGAACACACGCAATCATGCTGGTCACATGCACACTTCACAAGATCTCAACTAGATTCGACTAAGTCTGCAAGGTTTGTGAAATTAAATGTTCATTAGTCATTCAAAGATTTGTTTTTAAATTATATAAATGCGTATTTGCGGAATGCTGATGGCAAACGAGAAAGTATTATAATGTTTGCCTTTAATAATATTAAAGCAATCGTTATAATACTTTTTTGTATATATTTTAATTCCTTTGTTTAACAGTTCTATCTGATTATTAGGTAGACTTCTATCCGTATTAGACAGAACTGAATGACAACAGCGAACAAGAGGGAGAATGTGAGCACTGTGTGCTCAGGCGCTGCTGCAGCCATTCTCAGCGCCGTCAAAATAAAAGTCCCACCTCGAACACTTCGGCCAAACAGAAAAACTTATCAGCCGATATTTTAAAAATGGCAGATATCGGCCGATATATCTGCCATTTTTAAAATATCGGCCGATAAGTTTTTCTGTTTGGCCGAAGTGTTCGACCACAAAAAATAACATTTCATTTTTTTAAATATATTTTTAAAATGTAATTTAGTCATGTAATGGCAAAGCTGGGTGCTCAAGAAACATTTCATATTACATTTACATTTACATTTACATTTAGTCATTTAGCAGACGCTTTTATCCAAAGCGACTTACAATTGGGGGATACATAAAGCGATTCTTCTTAAGAGAGGCAAACAGACACAAGAAGTGGTTGTAATACCAAGTTCTTAGACATTGTTCAAATAAGTACAAGCTAGAAAGAGAAGGAATAAATAATTTTTTTTTTT